CCACTCCACCCCACTCCACCCCACTCCACCCCACTCCACCCCACTCCACTCCACTTAAAGGTACTTACTTAAAAGAGTGGAATAACCTACCATCGAAATCAATACGCATTCGCGTAGCATTGATTGGTGTTGGTTTCTTGCCCGGTTCAATAATCGTCAGCTCTAAAGTAGTGAAGCGTGTTTCTTTCAAAGATGCCACAACAGCTACAATAAATACAAACCCTTCTTTTCTCATCAAAATCGGGACGCTCTTTGAACCGCTATTTAAAAAAAAAAAATAAATAAATAAATAGCATTATTGTTATATCAATAGTGGTAATAAACTGACTGACCGACCGACCGACCGACCGACCGACCGACCGACCGACCGACCGACTGACTGACTGACTGACTGACTGACTGATATATAAATCAATAATCTCACACTAACCCGAGTGAGATCACTTTAGTGAGGTTTCTGTAGTCTTCCATGCTGCTGATGTAAACCCGGCAGTATCTAGCATCGCTAACTGATATCCGGTAAGTACCAGGATAAAACATGACAAGTGCTGATACGCGCTGTACGCAGGAAGAACACTGCACTGAATCTCCTTGAACTATCTTGAAGTATGAATTCCTAATAGAAGAGACTGTGTTGGGCGATCTTTTATGTATGGAGTCCATAGCAAGGCGGTATCTTTTGTAAGACGAGGGAAGTGTAAACGTCTCCAAGTACATACCAGAATTTGCACTTCCAGCTATACCTAAGAAAGCACGACAAAATAAAATAAAATCTTAATGTTTGGTGTTTTCAGATCATATTGAGTTAGAATTGCGCTTTTACAGAGGCTAGAGCAACTGTACGGCTTTGATTCAGGATGCATTGTGCATTGTAAATACTCGATTGAATACTTCAAGAATTAACGACATAGAGCACGACAGAGGAAAAAAATCTTATCCAGATCGTTGAGCAAGAAATGTAGCCATGGTAACCTGGGCTCTGGCTTTGTTTAATGTAGTTAGTAGCCAAGACCTATACGTCAGGTATAGTTTTCAAACCCCATTCCCTTCGATCAAAAAGCTGAAACAAAGTGTGAAATTGTATGAAGATCAAAATGCAAGTGCAAACTTTTTGACTCCCACAAGTACGCGAGATATTAGCGCTAGCTCTCTTAAAACTTACAAAACTAATTGTTATTATGTTGGTCTCTTATTATATTATGTGGGATTTATGAGGAATGTGGAATATAGTCTGCTACGGACTGAAACGCAATGAAAACATCTGTTCTTCTCATGCGCATCAATACACTTGCACTCTTCCAGCCTAACGGGGTCTAATGGAAGAAAAAACGACAGTTTTCATTACACATTGATAGAATTTTTTTTTTCCAATTTTGCTCAAACTTTAGTTTTTTTTTTGTTTCTTTCTGTGTGTTTCGCCAGTAAATGTGGACTAATGTTAGTAACACGAATAGTGTTGTAAAACTCACCTAATTCACAATTAATAAAAAATGTTGAGAACCCAAGAATAAACGACGACAACCACAGTGACATCTTTTGAAGGTTTTCTCTCTCTCAGGATGACAGACCAACAGACCAACAACCATTTGAATCTTATATCTTCATGTCGTCTCAAAGGCAGCGCCTGTATCAAGGAATCTCAGATTTAAAACGACAGTTTTTCCCAAGTGAATCCAACACCTGAGTGACTCCTGACCAACAAACAACTGACCTAGAAGATGATTTAAAAGTCCAGAAAACCTAGGACTTTAATTTGCATCCTGTCAGATGTTTATGTCGTTTTGACGGTACCAAATGTTTGATAAACTGAACACATGTGGTAATCTAGTCATCGTTATAAAGTCATTTGATTTTGAGCCTTTTTAATTTACAGCAAATGCCGTTGTTGACAATTTTCGCTCGTTAGGGTTTTCCAATTATTTTAAATTTAATGAATCATAAATATGATTTGATTGCTTTAAATAATTTCGAGACTTGCCATTTATTTATCAAGACCCACCATTAATTCTCTACTTCTCTCCTTACTTCCTTCGGATTTGAAAAATATCAATGAATAATACATACAAACCTAACCTGATTTGTTTATTGTTACTGCAGTTCTGTGTTGTTTTAATCAGTACTAGTTGTCAATCGCAGCGACTTGCCGGCTGGAACTCCACCTGGCCAACGGACGGTCCAACAATATCACAGTAGAGCCAGCCCGATGATTGGTTAAATCTTAAGATTCAATAAAGTTGAAAATTGATTGACTTGACTAGWGCGGTAGTTTAAAGGTATTAACTTGGCGGTTGTAGGGCGGTACGTTAGATTTAATGCAAGCTATTGATTAAAAGACTAGCTACTGGTGTGAACACTTGCACGATGCGTGGATTCCAATCTAAATACTCCAATTCTARCGCCATTTTTGATAATTTTCTCCACTTACCATCCATAGATCTCAAGTATGTCAAATATTATTCCTGCTATTCCAGCTTATTTTAGACCTAGCGTTTGCAATGGTAAACTATGGTAAAAAATGATCTTCAACTGACGTTTCGGATCAGTAGTAAATAGAAATGTAACCAATGGATAGCCAAACAAACAAACAAACAAACAAACAAACAAACAAACAAACAAACAAACAAACAAATGAAACAATTTCTGCGTTCTCTGTCGCTTCAAAATATTTTTGAAGACTTTAAAATTACAGCGCATGCGTATTGGAAATGTAATGATATCATTTGTCTTTGATTAGACGAGTTCTCTGTTTAAAGATGTGTTGACTGCATTGTCCTGCGAAATGTCTTTGGCATAATCTGGGTATATATTTTTATATTTTTCCCGATACAAGATAAAATATAATAAAATAGTGACTAAATATTTATAATGTAGTCTTTTATTTCATATTTTATTGCTACTAACGCTATACTCTCAAGGATTTACAAAACAGAATTCAGTATTCGATCATTATTTTATAGGTTACTATTTTACGTGACTAACAAAGTCTGGACAAAAAGCTCAAAATCGTTAGCAAGCTTCTAGTACAATTATCTTGAATATTACAAATTCATTATGAAAACAATGCTTTTTTAAATATTCCCATTGAGCTATTTCTTGATTTTAAGTCATAAATATTCTATCATTCGAAAAAAATTAAGCTAACGATTTTCCAGTGTTGGTTAAATAAATCAGAGCCAACTTATTTTATAAGTATTTTTCGTTTAAAGTATTTTTAGAACCGTGTGAAAAGCAAAGCAATGGATAATAAGCCTATTTGGTGTTGTGGAGAAAGCTCTACGTAGTTTTGTAAGCAGTATTTTTTTGCACGTACTATTTTTACTAAATATTTAATTCATATCTAACATAATTGTAATTAATTTTAACTAAACGCATATTGTTTCACTCTTTCAAGGCCCAAAGTTGGCACTTTTCAATGTCTATTCTACAGTTATGCATATATTTAAAGCAAGGTCACATAAATGTTTCATTTTCTTCATCTTCTATCAAAATACGAACCATACATCTAGCTGTCTGTGTAAAATATTTCTTTAAAATGTAAAATCGACGATACACAGACAAAATCAACCCCAAACTACCCCCCTAACAGAATAAATCGTCTTTAAAATTAATTCAGTATTTTGACAAGATTAATTCATTTATCTTATGTTTTGAAGTACTTGGAGAGATATGCATGAAGTTTAACGAAATCTGTTGTCGAAGTCCGTCTTGCTTCCTGCAAAAATCATATTAATTTAATGGTTAGACTAACGTATAACGAGTAAACGATGTTAGAACGGATGCGAGGGAGACTACCAGCCCTCCCCCTAATACAAAAACCTTCCCTAAGATAGCGCATGCGCAGTTTGCTTTCCCGTATATGTTCACGACTCATAGAAAAATCAAATGACCAAAAAAAAGCAAAATAAAGGCAGAGTGTTTTTGGACTTACTTTGGTGTTTAGTTGTGTAATGCGTAAGGAGCCAGTCCAGATTCCCTACTGATATGCTTTCTAGGACTTGGTTGCACCTGTGGGCCAGCTCCACCCAGCCAGATTGGCTCACTCTTCCTGTAAGCAGTTCGAGGTCGTGAAGGACCATCAACCGAGTCTCCTGGTAGTACAGAACTCTCCATTGTACGAGACCTTACAAAATACGAGTGACATATAAGGTATTGTTTTGTCGAAAGTGAATGATGAGAATTTTATAGCATTCCATTTCCTTAATTCACCGAGATTCAGGACTCCAGCTACGCTGTATTGGGACATATTTCTAGATCAATACTGATTTAAGAAATAAATTTGATTTAGAAAAAATAGAGACTTATTAACAGAGTATGGCATGTAATAACACTTACTTTCTGGGAGCGGTTTTGGGGCGTTCTGGAAGTTGACCGCCTTCAAGCAAAGACAAAAATCAAATCAACAAAGGATCTACGTAACTTACTACTAGTCTTGGTAGTTATCTTAGGCGAATACAAGCAAAACATATTTATTGGTTGGGACCATCACGTGATTGTAGGAAGCGTTCACAAGATAAAACTTGTTACGTTGTAAAAGGTAGACATGATGCAAAACGTCATGTTTGAGCGCAAAATTTGCAATCATCTGTCAGTCCGGGCCTAAAGAGAGACCCTTCCTGTGGCGTTGCAGCAGCATTAGTAATGTCAAAAAGATCTATTTAACGATCAGTGCTCGAGCCCGAATGGGCTATGAGTCAATAGCCAATGAGGCCAGAGGTCGAATAGTATATTTTATCATAGCGGGCAATGCGGGCGAGAGGACAAATAGTTTAGTCAAATCCAACTATTCGGTCAAATACATAGATGCAAAGAATTCTTGAATTAACGTTAACTTTATTACTTTGGCTTTCCAAGCCGGCATTTTTGGCTACTAGTACGATACAACTTATAACCTAGTAGTAGCTCATTCAATCAGAACACAGCATTAATGATAGACTACTTGGATTTGACTAAAATAGAATATTTCATCTTGTACGGCTTACTTTTGTTATCTTCCAAGTAGAACCAATCACTGCGTTTATAACTGACTGGAGTCTTACTTGGAGTGTTTCTCGGGGTCTTGAGGAGATCTAAGAAGACAAAGTGACATCACTGTTAATCACTCTCGAGAGATACTCATCGAAGCGCACTGATAACACAAGTAAAACATGATTTTGCTCACGATACGGCACCAAGTCTTGCAAAAGAGAGATAGATAGAGAGAGAGAGAGAGAGAGAGAGAGAGAGAGAGAAGAGCAAAAAGTTGATAACTTTAAGCTAAGATGCTTAAATTGACGATACACCAAGCCCCTTTAACCTCAGCATCCAAAACTATCCGCAATCATCTTCATCAAAGTACATCATAGAGATGGCAAGAGAGAGAGAGAAGAGCAAAGACAAGTCGATAAGTTAAACAGGAATTCGCGGCAAAAGTCTCTTTAACCTCAGCATCCAAAAGGATCCGCAATCATCTTCATCAAAGTACATCATAGAGATGGCAAGAGAGAGAGAGAGAGAAGAGCAAAGAAGCAAAGACAAGTTGATAAGTTAAACAAGAATTCAAGGTAAAGTCCCTTTAACCTAAGCATCTAAAATGATCCTCAAACATCTTCATCAAAATCCTTGTACAGATGACGAGACGATGCAAATAATAATAGAGTAATAATAAATGATAGTGACATGACATATGGTCGTACACGAAGATGAATAAATGATCAAGTATTACCAGAATGCCCTCCCCGTTTGGCCGTCTTTGTATACTCTGTGTCTGTGTTTTTGACCTGTAGCTTGTTATAATTTCTGCGTACTCGGGCACTGTCTGGTGTTGCTCTATCTGTAGTCAAAATCAAAGCGCCATGTATAAACATTATAGCCATGCATTAGTTAGAGTTTTATATGAATAACATGGTGTTAGAGGTCCAGGCATTAAGATTATAATGCAATAACTGGACTATACCAATAATGTACTTGTTAAAGCTTACGTAATTAAGAGCGGCATACAGTTAAAACATCGCTGCTTTAAATAAATACAAATTCACCTTATTTTAACTTTACAACAATTTATATTTAGCTTATATTTACGCACATTTAGGTTGACAAAATATAAAATAATATAAAATCAAAAATGTAAGTGTGCAAGTGTTTTTCTGTTCATGCCATTAACTCTGTCATTTTTATGTAGGGTTGTATTTTCAAGTAAAGTCTATCCATCCCTGTAGTTTTCGATGCTTTGTTCACTAATAGAGCACCTTTCTCAAGGGTAGCTATATAATGAACTAAAAGAAAACAGGCTTAGAATGGAGCCTTGTTACAAAGAATGTCTGTGTATCTAATAAGCAAGTACAACTTGGGAAACTCAATTATTAAGTATTTAATTTTATTTTAAAGACCAACCACGCCCTATTTCTATTTTTTGATGTTTGCTTTGAATTTCGATGGAAAATCTGTCCCAGGTTTTGAATTCAGCATTGATACTAACGGGGGAGAGCGCGACTGAATTCAAAACCCAGGACAGGTCTTCCATCCAAATTCAAATCCTCCGTCAAAAATTAAAAATAGGGTTTGGTTGTTTTTTAAACCAGTTAAAACGCACGTGCTTGGATTTGCTCAGATCTGCAGCCCTCGGTCTCAGATTTCAATGCAAACCCTCGCCCTAGTGTTTTAACCTATTTAAAAACTTTGCCTTATGGGCAGGAAAGCCTTACGTACATACAGTATGTATGTATATAATTCAGCTAATGCAACCTGTTGTTAAAATAGATTCGAATCAGTACCTCTTTTTTGTAAGCTGTCTTTGATATCCACTCCATCCTGATAATACCAGTCTCCTCCTTTCTTATTATATTTGGCTGGTTCCTTGGTTGGCTCATGTTCTTTGATCTCTAACAAGTCTGAGTGAAAATGAAACTTTTATAAGTAAAAATTTTTACAATTTAGGGCACGACTAACTCATAATGCAGAGGCATATCAAACATTGAGTATCGTATTTCCCTGTGTCTGTTGTCTGTGAGGCAGACCCACGAGTTAGCATCGTCCCAGTATCCTTCCTCGATTTTCCAAAGTTTTTCTTTCTTTACTTGTCTTTGTTCCTTTCTTTTCTTCTTCAAAAATGTTCATACCAAATTCATTATAAATAGATGGCTTTTTTATTTGCCGCTTTTCTGCACAATCCAAATATGGAATTGATTATACCATATATGGAGTGAGCTTTCTCTACTCCAACTTTGACACTAACATTATAGAGTAAAGCTTGATGTGGAGAAAAAGTGGAAAACCCTTGAATCAAGGAAGAGATCTAATCAACTTTACTCAAATGTGATGTTGAGTTTGGGGATCAGACCAGAAATCTTGAAGAAGAGAGGTAAGCTCAAGTGCAATACCAATATGCCATCCTTGATTCCTATTGCACCTCAGGTTGTAATGTTATTATTTAATGTATATGTACCTTTATGTCCTCCTTCTTTGGCAAGTTTTAAAAATTCAGAATCTCCTTGCTTAGCCCTTGATCTTGGTGTGGCAGGTGGTTGTCCATCAACACCATTAACAGCATCATGTGTATACCAGTCACCACCTTTCTTGTCATATTTAACAGCTTCAGCAGTTGGTTTGTGTTCTTTAATGGCAAGTAGGTCTGAAACATGATTAAAGTGATTGATTGAGTGATCTTTTTGTACACACATGACCAAACAGGGCTTAAAATAATGGTCGGTTAGTTGCTAATCCTGATAACTGGCCATGACCAAATTAGTTTTAGGTCAGTCATACTGTACCTCATTATTGGTTTAACATTACTTTTCAAAATGAACAGCAAAGCTTTTTCAAATGTTCTATTTAATTAAGGCAAAGATTTTACCAGACAAGTTTCAATTCTGGCCGGACATTTATTGTCCAACCACAAGCCATTATTTGAAGTCCTGCCAACAGTATAATACATAATACATAAATGAATCTGCAATTATCAACTTTCTGAATGACACATAGTGAATTAACTTTGTTTATGGAAGATAACACTTGACAGTAATCCAACTGATAAACTTTGTGGTCCTCTTTAACCTCTCTAGTTCATTAGGGAGGGGACCACTATTAATGTGGTCATCCAAGCCACATGAAGGTTTACCCATTTGCAGATATAACTACAAAGGCAGCACCTTCTCAGTTACAGTATTTCAAGAACATGAGTGTTGGTCTGGCCGAGGCTTGAACCATGACCTCCCGCACAACAGACTGAACCTCTTACTACTTGAGGTAACCGGGTGGCAGTCAAAAAGTTGGAAATGAAAATTACATTCAAAATGCATTCACAAAAATAGTGCTACAATAAGTATAGGAAAGCCACATCTTGAGTACAATTCAGAATTGATAGGTACATGTACAAGTGATGTTTTGAAAGTTTTAAGAATTGGACAAGCCTTTAAGCAAGTCCAATTTGAGAACTTTCAAAACACCACAAGTATCTATCAATCCTGAATTATAAAGAAGATTGTGTGACTTTTATTTTATAATACACTTAATTGGAACTCTACGGAGTACAATTTACGATTTAATCATACTTCTCTTATCCAATCAGAATAGAGTAATTTTGTTGAGTGCATTATAAATATAAATATAAATATAAATATATATAAATATTTTACAGTACATATACCTTTGTGCCCTCCTTGCTTTGCAGCTTTTAAAAATTCTGTATCTGTTTCTTTAACTTTGGATTTTGGTTTCTGTGGGAGGTCATTATTGTTAACTTTATCTTGATAATACCAATCTGCCTTTTTTACCTCTGCTTTTTTAGGTGATGGACTTGGTTCAGCAGGTCTTGGGGAGAGCAAGTCTGAAAAATATCAATTAAATCACCATCAATGCATAGAATTACGTTGATTTATCATTCTACAGAGTGTACAAATTTTAGCATAAATTATATATTTTGCGTTCCTGCTGGAGGTAATCATGTACTTTATGAGCAGCCACAATATGTGTTGGTTACAATTTCCTGAATGTCAGCAAATGCATGATCAATACTTTACTACTGGTAACACTCACTTGCTCACACCACACACAAACTCACTCACTCACATTTCAAACGATTTTCATTCCAAGGACAAATTGCTTGAATTTCTCTGTTGCCTCTACCTTGTACTTATGAAAGTTTGCGCCTAAATTCAATTTTAAAATTACTGACTTGTCTGAAGTTTTGGTCTAGATGGGTCTAGACAGGCAATCTAGATCCATAAATAATCCTCAACACTTCAGCGTCACTTTATTGATAGTTTCCTGACTGTTTGCCATGCATTGGTTCACAACAAGAGTCTAAAAAAAGCATTTGTGTGTTGGCTGTCAATAGCTGCCTATTACTGGCCAAACTGTAACCATAAATTATTTGTAAATTTTTGACAGTTTTGAAAGCCAATTCTGGTTCTTTTCATCCAATCATGTTCAAGTTTGGCAGACTTATTAATCTTGAGATGCTTGATCTCAAATGACAAGGTTTTTCCTAATAATTCATTTAACTCGCCCCAGTGTTTTTCTAAATTGAAATAACAAACCTTTATGTCCACCTTCTTTAGCAAGCTTCACAAAGTCAGTATCATCAGACCTGATCCTGGACCTTGGTGTGTCTGAAGCAGGGCTGGATTCTCCATGAGATAAACAAGAAATGTTTGATACTCGGGGTGTGTCAACTTTTGTAGGTGATGCACCATTGACAGGCTCAAACCATTCTATACAAGCAGAAAAATAATACATGCTTTTGTTAGTTAAAAATATCTGACCATTTTCCAAGCATCAAGGAACCTAAAAGAAGGGTTAGTTTAAATATGAGTTTAGTGAATATTAGGATTATGGAATTGTATTCTGTCAAATGGCAGAACTAATCTGTATGGACCACAAATTTCCACAGGCCTTGGCCCCGCCATGTGCAAGCCTATGCATTCTCTCAATTGACATGTAGGATCTTGTGCTCAACAATTACATATATTTAACCTGAACAATATATAATTATATGTAAATAAATAATAAATAAATCACTTTTATTTAAGTGTCTAGTCGTTCTAGCGCTTTCGGACTAATTGGGAAAACTTTCCGCTCACACGCACTACCACTACATTAAATGTTCTAAGCACACAACGCTCAACTCACTATATGAAATATATGAGTATATGAAAACCATGGACCAAGGAAGAATGGAGGTTTTTAGAGAACTGCACAGCTATAGCAAGTGCAGTCAGAACCCAAATATTTTAGAATCAACATATTAAAGGAGAAGACTCAATACAGTTGTAAAATATTATATTTGTTATAAAATGAAATACAGTGAACTTTATTTAGAAATGATGACATAGTAACCCCCAGAGTTACCCGATGACCTTAAAGTTTATCATTCAATGAGGTATGGGAAACTAAATATAAGCCCACTCATTAGGCAGGAACACAGGAACCACATATTTGCTATTTTAGTGGTTGAGGAAACAAACTGGCCAACTGTCTGGCCACAAACACCAGCTGTCAATGATGCAAAGGAAATGGAAGTTCCTTTCAGGTCAATTTAATGCTGTTATTTGTCATACTTGAAATTTAAACGATAGGAAAGCTGAATAGACCAGTCGACTTTCATTAATTTTTATGTTGAGTACTCTTAATGGAGAGTCAACATTACACTGTACATGTGTCATTTCATAAATCGAGAGCACATTAGGTACTAGACTACATATGCAGTACTTCAAATATTATAAATGTCTGCTATTAAGGTTGGTGTMAGTGATGCATGTTATTCAAGAGACTATACATAGTTAAGTTGTGCACAAAAAGAACTCAATTTTAATGTCAATTGTTGCAAGTGAAATTAATATCAGCTTCAATTCTAAGCCAATTATAATTGCCACTAAGAAAAATGTAATTGTTTCTTTAATTACTAACAATTGCTATGTGTAGACATTATATATTTCGTTGTTATCATGAAAATATTATATGTAAATGTATGGAGAATTCAAATGTAAATGATACATATATTTTGTACTTCAAAACAAAAATATTTTGAAATGAAAAAATCTAAGAACCTGTTACTAAAACGAAAAATAATTGATTTTCTTCAAATAATATAAACAATAATATGAAAATACAGTATCTAATGGTAGTAAGTGGATGGCACTAATCCTCTAACTCTCCTTGAAAAGATATTAATCTCCTTATACTATCAGAGAAAAACAAACAAGGAACTTAATGTTGGATGCGTGTAGCAATAATCCAAACTTGAATAATTGTACAATATATATAGTAAAATCGTCCAACCATATTAATATGTTCAGCTAGCATAAAGGCTTAAATTACAAAGCGAAACCAAGAACTTCACGCCATTTCACATGACATATAACAGTTATTTCTATTGGTGATGTGCAACTACCGTATATTCTAGTCCCTTGGGAGTGTTTATCTATAATGACTCATTTATGATCAAGTGTCCAATAAAAAAACTTAGCATTTCTTGTCACACCTTTTCTCATGGTCTCATAATGAGTAGTAACACCACAAGCCGACAACACACGTTGTATTGATTTGAAGTAATCCCGAGAAAAAATAATAATAATAACGAAACAATTCTTATCCGAAAAATCTTAATTTTCTTTTTTTAGGATTTTACCAAGACCTCGTCATGTCAAAATCTAGTTAGACGGAAGTGGTAATGATAGACAAATGGGGAGGTTAGAGACATTAGGTAAGGGTCAGATAGAGTTCTACAAGAATATACTTTATGATTGTCATTAAGCAACGCGATAAATATCCTAGAACCATGACAATATCCAAGTTGGCGCCTCATTTATGCTTATCACATCGAAAATGGTCAAAATTTGAGTCAAAACAACTGATCGGTCCATGAAATGCTAATTCTTGGCGACACAGTTCTAGTTACGACATGCTGAGTTCTTGCGAGACAGTCCATCCACTTTATAACTTAATATACTTTTGAATTGATTAAAAACTTCAAACACTGCTTAATGTAGATCACTTAAACATTTGTTTTTGTTGGTCTACTAAAAGCACTGGCCCATTAGGCAGCGAATAAAAATGCATTTTTGTTGAGAGATTCATAAACAATCAAAGAAAAGCGAAAATGCCTCTCAGCCGTAAATATTTCAGTATCTGATACAGAACTGTTTTATTCAGTTTTGCTCTTTCTTTCTCTGGAATATAATGTAGGTTATTTTGAACAGGTTCCTAGCATTTTGATACGGAACAACAACAAATACGATCGTTATTTGACAATTGCCTTTGTATTACGAGAGGTAGGAATTGAAAATATAAATGAATAAAAATAAGTCAAGAGCTTCAGCTCACCGCAGATGCATTCCTTCCTCACTAATTCTTCAAAAAAAGTTTACAGCAACCCCGCGATACAGATATTAAGAGATACATCTAAAATAATTTATCATCACTACCACATTTATAGTCATATTACTTATCTAGAATTATTGAAGCGGTGAGATTCATGAGCTACCATGTGAAGTTGTAAAACCAAAAAAACCACGGATTCTAGTCAACACGTTGGCATAAAAAGGCGAACACAAAAAATTAAAAATACATCGACACACAAAGCATTCGTTCAAGATAAAATATCGAATCCAAGGGCGATCCCTATAGCATTTCCTATGTCTTCAATGACTAGAATTGTCCTAATATATTTGTAGAAAATACGCCTTTCACAGCACGACCTGACATGTAGGGTGAAAACAATCGATCGTACGTAGAAAATTCATCATACCTCCACTTTTCGAATTGTTAGCCATGAGAACTTCTGCTCAGTGAGTAATCCAAAGGTTTCTGTTGAATAAGGGTGGCTGGATCGATGGTATAGAGTGTTTAGAAGAGGATCGAATGTCTTGACAAAAACCGATCTTCCGTTCGATCGCGTCCACTTCACTAGAAAAAACCGGTTTAGTACTCAGTCTCCCTCGCACACCGACATGGAACGCCTTGTCAATATCACGAAAACTGGGTGGGATGAATAGAAGGATGTGAAAAGATTAAGAAAATATCAAAAATTCAGTTCTTCCGTATGCTTCGAAGACTTCTGGTTAATAGCTTATGTTTGGGAAAGACTAGATTGCATAATATTTCTATGAGAACACTGATGGACCTGTAAAGTACGAGAAATACCTGTGAGAGATTGACCGACATCTCCACATGTGGCAATCAAAACTGAACACTGTTATCTTTTTTTAATGCTAGAAGACAAATGATGTCTCGATGCCTAAAAAGCTTTTTTTACCAAGCAAAGCTAATGGCTCTTTACATAGTAAAAGCTTTTGGCTAATTTTACTACCTCAGGAACGCGAATTGACATGAATGACTACACCGACAGTTTCAGATCTCAAAAACACTTTGGAACGATCGACTCTTTCCTTTTTGTATATCATAAAAGAATAAAATTCTAAATCGAATTATCAAAGTCAGCATTGCCGAATAGCATTGAAATCCCGGTTCTAGTTGGAAGCGTCTATTTATTTTTTCTGATATGTCGTTTCGAGTGTGCAAACCGCCTTCTACCTGAATGCGCTAATGGCTTTGAAACAAAACATATTTAATGATGAAATACACAGACCTTGGAGCTATTTAGATGAGTAAAAAAGACGTTCTTTCAGTCAGATAAATTGTGAAGATTAGATCTCGTGTAAATGATAATGTGGCAATCTCTATAGCATACTGGCTGCTAACTTATTATGTTTTTGCAAGTCTCCAATATTCAGTTCTTTGATTTTGAAAGCAGTGTTCCTATATTGTTTCACTTCTAAATCGAGTAGAAAAATAATTGCATGAGTTTAAAGATAATACATTTAATTTTCCAATGTGTAGCTCACTTGAGCCCTATAAGCCTGTGGTCGCGCTTTGCATAGTTAATAGTGGTTTCTAGTATTAAGAGCCTGTCGTGAACTGCCACGTATCAAACACACAAAAATAAATGCCCCAAAATAATTTTTGGGTTTTCTTTTCTTTCTTCTTAAATCTAAAAGGGGTGTTAGAAAACCTAATTATTCACGTCTGGAGTATTGACTGATTTTTTAAATAAAACTGACTCAGTTGCGCGCCGTTTGAGTTGTTGATTCTTTAAATAGCGGACTCAAAATGATGGATTAAGAAGGCTTGCCTCACGAAAGCAACGGGTTTTGTGGTAAAAGCTACACACAAAAATAATAATGTTTGTTTTGTAGCTTCATATATACTAATTTCATTCGCTTGTATATAAATCATCTTGTTCTTAGTTTGCTCAGCTTGTCAGATAATGTTTTTTCATGATTTTTAAACCAATCTTTTCGTATTTCGGTTTAGTGTCAACGCTTTCAATTTCTTCATTTACTATGACCAAAATCATTATTGAACATCAACGACACTTCAGAAAATAAAGAAGACTTTAATAGACATTCGTTGCCAACACAACCTGGTCTAGTTTTCTTCACTAAAACCATAGTTAAGGAATACTATACTCAAACATGACAAAACATTTTTCTCTGAACTGATTTCTGCGAGGGACCTGCAGTTTCAACTCGATGGCTGGCTCCTTCTGGAAAAACTAACACGCGAAATTCGGATTCGATGTGTGAGTTAGCCATACTAACTAGACTTGAATCAGCTTAGGTTGTTTCACGGTGTGATATAAAAGGTCGTTGTTGAAAGCAGCCGATGTACGACTTGAAAAACACTGTTTAACTTTAGCTTTTCAAAAATAATATTAAGAAAAAACAATAATTAAAAAGGCTGTTTGTAATTTTTTGGTTTAAATTAATTAGCATATTAAGACAATAATATTGCTTATTCAGAAACTGGACCACGTTAAAGAAATTAAACCGGCTTTGTAAAAGAAACGGTTGCTAATAGCGACCATTCATTACTGGCTTGGACAGAAAGTACAGACATACGGAAGTTTTGGTCTCTGCGAAGGCGACACATTTCAGCAAAACCCAAACATAATTAGATTCAATAAAAATATCAAATGAATGAAAAGTGTTCAAACAAGTAAAATTGAGATATTTTTATTTACATTTGTGTTTCGTGACATCGAGATTGTATGAACTAATTGATGACCATTGATTCCTGCTGGGTTTTCATCATTTTTGATGCGACTAAACAGTCTTATTGTGCTTTTATATATAGGCTCTATTATTGGTGGATAGTGATTGGCACTTTGTAATTCATTTGCTCTGTCATAGTGAGATTYTTCACTGATTCAGTTGTTACTATATATATTGATACATATTTTGCCAAAAAGAAGAATACAGATCGAACCACCAACAACAAGGCAGGACGATCTAAAAACTTTCCCCTGAATAACCGATATTAGAGCAGCAACATATAGGAAAAAGTTACCTTTTTCAATTGACTTACGGCCTCTAAAAAGAGAAGTTGACTTGATAGAGTGCAAACAACATATAACCGTGAAACTTTAGTAATACTAAATAGCACAATTTCATGCAAATTCCATTGTTTTCTATTGTTTAATTAGCACTATATATTTTGTACWATTTAGTAATTAGTGTTTCATGGATTAATCGTTTGCACTCTATCTAAGGCTGCATGTTGTTTATTATTTCGGATCTAGTTTAGAGCCGGTCCGTCCGTCCATCTTGGTTCTTTTGCAAATCATCGATAACCACTGAAAAATTCGGCAATTTAATCTTTTCCGTAGATATTAGTTTTCATATACAGATAACGGGCTACTTATGGAGATAGAGGGCAGGTGGTTCTTGGCTCGATAGTCCTGAACTTCATAATCGATATATTCGTATATCATCATATCATTTTCCATTTTCCATTAATATTGTTCCTTACATTTGGTTATCTTTGGGCAAATGTAATAACCTTTTTACATGTTATCTAAGAACCAAGGAAGGTGCTTTAAAAATTTTAATTTTTGTGAAGACCAAAGGCTGCAGCCAAGTGGCCGTAGGCCTTTACCGTGCATGTCCTACCACTGCTTGAGTTGCCATGAACGACCGTGCCTGTAGCTAGTCATATTATGCTTGAGCTCGTGTAAACCTAGCTCCAATAACGTAAAACATTTCGAAAATCATTAAAATTATGGGGGGAGAACCCAAAAGTGGCTTCCTCTCTCATGATCTATTCTTAGATTGCTTAGAAAACGAAAATAAGACAGACTGGTTAAAGAAAATTAAAGATAAGGTCTGGATAAATACGTTGGGCACTCAGTCAGGAACCCAGGTCCAGACAAAAATAGGATACTGTAAAACAAAGGTTAAAAGATATTGAGTTCCAGACATGGCTCACGGAGGTGTCTGATGATGAAAAGAAAAACGGTCAAAAAAATAAACTCCGGACATATCGCATCTTTAAATATAATTATTCCCCTGAAACATATCTCTTCCGCGTTCCTAACATCATGCATAGAACCGCTCTCACACGCCTGAGAATTAGTTGTCATTATCTGAGAGATAGAAGTGGGGCGTTATAAAAGGCCCATATATGATATAGAAAACCCGAAGACCGAATATGTACTAGGTGTGAACTTGGGGAAATAGAGGACGAGCAACACACTTCCTGGTGAAATTCCGCGCTATGAGACTCTGAGAAAGAATATGTTTGATGTTTATGGAAAGCAGAAATTTTATGAATTTAAAAAAAAAAAAAAAGAAAAAAAAAGAAAGAGTGAAAATTATATTTTCCAGAATTTGGGGACGGATGGACGGGGCAACGGGGCAACGGGGCAACGGGGCAACGGGGCAACGGGGCAACGGGGCAACGGGGCAACGGGGCAACGGGGCAACGGGGGATAGTTAAAATTGCGGATCTGTAGACCAACATAGAATACATATGAAACTTTGCACAATTATCAATAAAGTCAAAATCATTACAGCCGAATGAAATAGAAAAGAGGATCGCTGTGTTCGTTTTGGAGCTAAATGATGTGTCTTGGGTGTGGTGAATGAGAACAATATTCGAAACCTGAAATTAAAATCGAGCAAAAGATTTGTTTAATTAGCAGAGAACTAGTATTAAATGTCAGATTAGAAATTCATATTCAAGTACGGCAAGGTTCTGGGGTAGAGAGTGTGTTAAGTGCGGGTTCCTACCGATCGATTTTTCAAACTTAATTATTTGTTAGGGCCTGTACCTTTATTCTTTTAAATTAATATAATCATCATATTTTGTAAATATTTATTGTAGCTGTAATCCTGGGTACAATAAATTGTTGTTGTTGTTGTTGTTGTTGTT